GAATGTGTGACGTGCCAGGGTTTAGAGAGATCATTCCGCTGTTTTCCACTTCTGGGGGATCACACTGAATAATCAGTGAGTGCAGGGCACTCGTGTGACAATGCCCCAAGTTTCAAATGATCTTGGTTGTGAGAGAGCAGCAGTCAAGGGCTCCTCAGAAAGAGCATATTTCTTCAAGGGGTATATGTCAAGAGACACAGAGAGAAAGGGTGAGGATTGAGAGGAATGGGGGAGGTGATGGCCGAATGAAGGAAGGAAGGAAAATTGCAACTGTGGTTTGATTATCAGCTGTGAGTAATGTGCTCTTTAAATCCTTTCACTTTATTTTGTTGTGTGTATGTGTGTGTTGTTGAAGGAGGTTCACATATGTACAGATACAATTATTTTTCTAAAAGATAATGCTACATAAACTGAAGTCATTTTTTGAGACCCGGTGAAGCACATTATTGTATAGTAGGAATTTAGTTCTATTATCATAAATTCAAAAAAAAATCAAGGTCTTGTTTTTATTTGGCCCTAGATGGTCTCTGGTTGCACAACAGCTGTGACATAAAAATATGCCCTCAAGCACATGTGCTTTAAGTGGTAGTATCATAGATTTCACAAAGAAACACACTTTATAATAATTGAGCTTGCAATCCCCAAGAGTTATGAATAAGCACTGTATATAGCATAGCATTAATAGTCATAGTGTAAAATCCACAAGAAGTACAAAAAGAAATATGCAAAAATTCACTGATAGTGGAAGACTCAGTTCATATTATATAAAAAAGACACACACAAATACACAGATGAGCTACACCACAAATAATGAGGTAATTGCTATATCTCGAATTTTATACCTTGAAACCAGAGAATAAAGTTTTTAGAGATGACCTAGTAATAGTCACAAAAATTGACTCTAATCATCCAGAAAGTAGATCTCAATACATATTTTATGATAAAAATAGAAATAATATTTTCTGATCATAATGCAATAAAATGAGAAATTAGTAATAAAAGTAGATGCTAGAAAAAAACAAACCTACCATCTAAAATATTTAAATTTTTTTTGGCCAATGTGGCAAGGTGGTCAGGGTATCAGTTGGCACACTGAAGGGTCTCGGGTTCGATTCCCTGGGTTGTATATTCAATCCCTGGCCCAGTCGAGGCAAGTGCAGGGGGAAACCTATTGATCTTTCTCTCTCTCTCTCTCTCCCCTTCTTCCCTCACCGCAGCTCTCTCTAAAAAAAAAAAAAGTCAATGGAAAAAATATCCTCAAGTGTCCTTGGGTGAGGATTAGCAACAAAAATTTTTTTTTCCAAAACAACAACAAAAACTCTTTCTTCATTTTCAGTCACTAAAAATCAAAACCAAAATAGTAGAATATTTAGAAGACAACATATATCAAAACCTATGGGTTGCCTTGACTGGTGTGGCTCAGTTGGTTGGAGCATCGTCCCTTACACCAAAAGGTGGGTTCAATTCTGGTCAGGGCACATACCTAAGTAGCGAGTTCAATCCCTGATCGATGCTTTTCTCACATTGATGTTTCTCTCTCCCTTTTCCTTTCTCTCTCTCTCTCTAAAAAAACAAAACAAAAAACCTACAGGAAAAAATAAAAGCAGTTTTCAGAGGAAAATAGTAGCATTAGATGCTTATGTTGTTAAAAAGAAAATATGAAAAATGAGCATATTAAGCATACAGTTTAAGAACTTGAAAAAACAACAACAGAATGAACTTAAGGAAAGCAGAAAGAAGAAATTACTACAAATAAAAAAATCAATAAATTACAAAACCAAAAAATAATAATACCACTAAAAAAATTCAAGTGCTGGGTTTAGTAATATTAACATTAAAAAAATATTGGAAAGATGAGGATATACATATAAATATAAAAATTAGAAATGATAATGCAAATTCAAAGTAAATTTTTTAAATTATATAAGGGTAACTTTAAAACTTCATCCAAATAAGTGTGCGTTAATTATCAAAATTTAGCCCAAAATAGAAAAAATACATTCAGATTAATTAACATAGAAGATCTAAAAGTATTAAAGATCTGCTCCCTAAAATAGACCAAGTCTGGACAGTTTCACAGATTTCTACCAAACTTGAAAGAATAGATAATTCCAGTGCTATTTAATTTGTTTCAGAGTATTCATATTCTCTTTATGCAAACAGCATAACATTGATAACAAAACTTGCCCAACATCCTATATAATAAAAGGATTATATGCAAAATGACCCTAACAGCAGAACAACTGGGAATGACTGGTCACTATGACACACACTGACCACCAGGGGGCAGACGCTCAATGCAGGAGCTGCCCCCTGGTCGTCAGTGCACTCCCACAGGGGGAGCTCTGCTCAGCCACAAGCCAGGCTGATGGCTGCCAGCACAGCGGTGGTGGCGGGAGACTCTCCTGCCTCCTCAGCAGCGCTAAGGATGTCCGACTGCAGCTTAGGCCTGCTCCCCACTGGCAAGTGGACATCCCCCAAGGGCTCCTGGGCTGCCAGAGGGATGTCTGACTGCCAGCTTAAGCCCGATCCCCTGGGGAGCAGGCCTAAGCCAGCAGGTGGACATCCCCCGAGAGGTCCCAGTTTGCGAGAGGGCACAGGCCAGGCTGAGGGAGACCCCCCCCCTCCGAGTGCACAAATTTTTGTGCACTAGACCTCTAGTTATCACATAAAAGAAAACTATAGGATTATTTCACATGAATACCAACATAGAAGACCTACATAAAGTCATGCAAACAGGGAAAATGTCCCTGCTAGGCCAGGATGCACTGGGGACTCTGAGATAGAATCTATAGTGAATGTGTGGTCCTTTATTGTCTATCACACTCTAAAGCACTGCCTGGCACTTTGGCAGAGCCTGACATAATACTCCAGAGGAAGGACCCTGACTCCTATGCAGAGGAAGTTTTATGCCACAATACTATAGAGGCATCAGCCCCGCCTGATGTGATCAGGGACCAAGAATCAATATGGTGTAATGGAAACTTGGCTTCAGTTCTATTCTGCCAGCCCAAGGTTCATGGACTAGGAGGGAAAACATCAGAATCTCTTCTGTTGAGAAAGAAATTTGAAATCAAACCTTGCAGTGAGAGCTATATGAAGGAGCAAGGTAGCAGCAGGATTTGTCAGATTGTTCCAGTCACCTATCAAAACACCAGAGAGTTGTTCTTGGACGGCCCCCTGAGTCAGAGGGAGAGAGTTGTCCCCTCCTCAGTTCTTGTCTTCTCATGGGAATGAATTCAAATGAGTGACTCCAGATAACTGTATTGTGTTAAAGTGAACTTATTAAGAAAGTAATTTATTAAGAAAGTAAAACATGCAAATTTATTAAAGGAGAAAGGAAAGCAAATATATCACCCAGCATAAAACTCAGATGGGCTCTCTCAGCATTCCCAGGAGCCAGTGGGGTGGGACATTTCTACCTTATATATTATGTCTTTAAATCTTAAAATTCCTCTGCCAGACATCTTGATACAGATTAATTTTCAAGGTCCCCTTTTCCTTTGTTATGGCTTTCTCAGAATTTGTGAGAAGCACTTGGCAATTTTATCTTGTCAAGCCCTGAGACTGCTGGCTTTTCTGTTTAGGGGATGGGATAAGATAAGACTGCACTAATCCTTCCCCATTCCCCTCTTCTCTTACATTATTAGGAGAGACATTAACCATTTGCTCTCAAGTGTCCTTGACTGGGGGAAGATAAGGGCTTGCTATTTACAAGCTGGCTGTAGGCTGGCAAACTGTTTGGCCTTGTTTAATTTTATTATCTCAGTTTCCGTACTCCCACTGCCTTGGAATTTTTCCTAGTTTCTTGCTATCCAAATATATAAAAGCCTAAGCTACCGAATGACCGGTCGACTAGTCAACCGGTTGCTATGATGGGCACTGACCACCAGGGGGCAGATACTCAACGCAGGAGCTGCCCCCTGGTGGTCAGTGTGCTCCCATAGTGGGAGTGCCACTCAGCTGACTGACCCGTCCCGGCAGCCCACCAGCCTGGCGGCAGCCACTCACTCCCTCAGTAGCTCTGCAGGTCCAATCTCTTCCAATCTCTGGAGAATGGGCCAGGCACCGACGGACCAGTAGGCAGGAGTGGCAGGCAGTGTGGGACTATCAGTTTCAGCCTGATCTCCACAGGCCACCCCAAGGGACCCCACCATGCACAAATTCTTGCACCGGGCCTCTAGTCTTGTAATAATATCAGCATTCAGTTTAGGGAAAATAGAAGCTCCTATCTTAGTATGATCAGGAGCTTGATCCAGACCTTGCAGTTGACAAGCATTGATGCCATAAAAACTGGATTATTACTACTTTCCATGTAGCTTGAAAGAGGAGCTCCTTTTCTGGAGACCAGGTTTCCATAGATCAGTCTTGGACAGATTAACCTTTACTTCTCAATTAGTCCACAGAGTTCAGGAAAATATTGAAATAATAATATGCCACAGCCAAGTGGGCTTATCTCAAGAATTCAAGGATGGTTCAATATTAGGAAATCTATTAATATTATTTACCATATAAAAATGTCAAAAAAAGTATATGATCTCCATAGATAACTAAAGTTTTATAAAATCAAATAACCAAAATCCATTCTTGTATTTAAAACAATAATTGATGAGGAGATGAATTCTTTGGTAATAACATTTTTAAAAAGTTCAGAAACAAAAAAGAAAGATGTCCTTTATCATCACTTTTATTTAGAATTGTTCTACAGATACTAGCAATTCAATTAGAGAATAAAAAAGAAATTAAAATTGGAAAATTGAAAATAAAATAATTATTATTTGCAGATGATATTGTTATTTTACTAGGAAATCTAACAGCTGATCTAAAGTTATTACAAACAATAGCTAAAAATGGCTGAGTATAAATTTCTATAATAAGTACATTTTAAAGAACATGATGAGGCTCTCCGACCATGATCTGGCGCTGCACGGTCCTTGCCGGGACGCTGCTCGCCTGGAGCGGGAGTGGCTTGGCGGGTCGGCTCGGCGGGGGCAGCCTCGAGGATGGGCAACAGCACGTCGTCTACTTGGGGGAAGCCGGCAGCTGCTCCCTTGAATCAGATCCAGGAAACCATTTCTGACAACTGTGTGGTGATTTACTCAAGGACATCTTGTTCCTACTGCAACATGGCAAAGAAGCTTTTTCACAACATGAACATAAACTACAAAGCGGTGGAACTGGACCTGCTTGAGTATGGAAGCCAGTTTCAAGACGCGCTTGCCAAGATGACTGGCGAGAGAACCGTGCCAAGAATATTTGTCAATGGGACTTTTATTGGAGGTGCCACCGACACCCACAGGCTTCACCAGAAGGGAAACTGCTTCCACTGGTTCATCAGTGTTATTTGAAAAAAAGCAAGAAGCATTTTGGCGACAGTGTTTGAGGATGTCTCACTATGTGAACAATCGTCATGAAAACATTAAAATAATGAACAATAAATCACTGTGGAAACCTCAAAAAAAACCATAATGAAATAAAAGTTACCATTTGTGAAAGTAATAAAAAATACCAGAAATATAATAAATAAGAAACTTCTAAGACTGGAATGTCACTGACAGATAAAAATAGAGACTTGAACAAAAAAATATATCTTTTCCCTAAATCCAAATATCCATTTAACATGACCCAAAAATACCAACATGATAGTTTGTACTAAATAAATTAATTTTTTAAATTATTGTAAAAAACAAACATAGCCAAGAATTTTATCAATGAGAACTAGGCACTATTTGACATTGAAAAAATTATGTAGTTATAATATGGATTATGAATATATAGATTAGAAAAGCAGAATAAAGTACCCAAAAACAGGCCAAAATAAGTGCAGGAATATAGTATTTCAGATTAGTGGAGAAAAGATGAATTATTCATTAGCAAACAACTAGACAATAATTTGTTAAAACAATGAAGTTGGATTGCTATCTTACATGTGATACCAAAATAATGTTCAGGCAAATTAAAGATTTAAATATGAAAAATAAATTGAAACCAGAAAGCACTAGGAAAAAAATCCCATAGGACTTTAAAAAAAAATAATATCATGGTAAAGAAGTCTGGTTTATGTTTTACATAAACCCAGAGTGACATCAGCATCATGGCAGTGTGAGAGGACCTTCATATCGCTCCCTTTAAAGTTACAAGTTGGACAGCTATAACTCAACAGTGCATTCCCTGCTCAACACACACATATGTCTGAGAGATCTGTGCATTGAGACATCTGAAGGTGGGCATATCAAAGTGAACAAGGCAGATGGGATGGGGGAAAGGACAGGGATGGGAATCACAGTATGGTGCTCACTATAGCAAATGTGATAGCAGTGAAAGGTCAGGGTGCAACCCCCACTGGGCAAATGGGAGGGGCAGAGACAGGAATGGGGCCTGGGTGGCAGGCATACATTGAGGCTGAGCCCAGGGTAAGGGGCAGAGAAGTGATGCATAGGGTGACAGCATGTCACAAACTACCATCACCAGACAAAGAAATTTTCAAATGAGGGAACCTGTCCCCCTTCCATTCTTTTGTGGTCTGCTCAGTAGTAAAAGCCACCCTCAGAAAATTGTGAAAAGTCAGAAAACAACTTTCTAGCCTAAGTGGTCTGTACTCAATGGAGCTAAAGCCACTAGAAATAACAGAGCTGCAAACGTGCAAGCCTGCTTCTCTCACCTGTGCAGCAGAGCCTGGTAGAAGCAACTGGGTCAACATTCAGAGCAGCTCTGCTGGCAGATTATGGCCAGAAAGGCAGTGCCATGAATACACAGTCCAGGAGACCTATACCCAAGAACAAGATAACCAGGTAATTAAGGGGTCGCCCACCTCCTCAGGGAATACCTGGCATTTTCCAAGGCCAAGATAACACTGCCCCACAGAGATCCCCAAAGCCCCAGTAGTGCAGGTAAGAGGAAATAAAAACTTGAGCTTCAGAGAAGGAAGATGGCTGCCAACCGGAAGGCAGACTGCAAGATAGTGGGGGAGAGTGGATGTTGTCGGAAGCCTGAAAATCCCATGAATCTACAACAACGGCACCCAGCAAACAGCTGCGAACCCAGGGACACCAGTCCCCAAGCGGCGCGAGCATGTGGATTCGAAGGAGCTCTGCACCCCATCACAAAAAGGTCAGATTTCGCCTGGGATAAGGAGAGAGAGAACTACATAACCAGACACCCGGAGAAGAGAGATCATGGGGAGAAAAAGAAACAGCCCACATATGAAAGAAAAGCAGGCATCACCAGAAAAGGAAGTAAACAAAATGGAGGCAAGCAACCTGTCAGAGAAAGAATTCACAGAAATGGTCATAAGGTGGATGAAAAGAATGGAAGACAAATTCAACAATATGTGTAAGAACCAAGAGGAAATGAAGAACCAAGAAGAAATGAAAAACGACATCACTGCTATAAAGAACTCAATAGAAAGCATCAACAGTAGACCAGAAGAAGTAGAGGACAGCATCATGAGCCTGAAGACAAGGTAGGAAAAAATACCCAAGCAGAGAAGCTTCTAGAAAAAAAAATTAAAAAGCAGGAGGAGAGCCTAAGAGAACTTTGGGACAACACGAAGCAAAACAATATCTGCATAATAGGAGTGCCAGAAGGAGAGGAAACTGAGCAAGGAATAGAAAACCTGTTTGAAGAAATAATGACAGAAAACTTCCCTGATATAGGGAAGAAAAAACTCACACAAATCCAAGAAGCTCACAGAGTCCCAAACAAAATGAAACCAAAAAGACCGATGCCAAGGCACATTATAATTAAACTAGAGGCCTGTTGCACGAAGAGATTCATGCAATAGGCCTTCCTTTCCCCTGGCTGCTGGCACGGGTTTTCCTCTGGCACCCGGCACCCAGGCCTTCGCTCTGTATAGGCTCTGGCCGGCAGCGCAGCGAAGCCTCACGGCCCCGGGGCCGGCGGCACTGCTCCGGCCCCCGGGCTGTCAGGCTTCGCTCCGCCACTTGGAACCTACATATGCAAATAAACCACCATCTTTGTTAGGTTAATTTGCATACTCTCATAATTGGTTGGTTAGCGTAGCAAAGGTATGGTCAATTTACATGTTTGCCTATTATTAGGTGAGATTGGCAAACACCAACGACAAAGTAAGAATCTTAAAAGTGGCCAGAGAGAGACAGAAAGTTACCTACAAAGGATCCCCCATCAGACTAGCAACGGATTTCTCAACAGAAACACATCAGGCAAGAAGAGAATGGAATGAAATATACAAAGTCATGCAAAGCAAGGGTCTGAATCCAAGAATACTGTACCCAGCAAGGCTATCAATCAAAATTGAGGGTAAAATCAGGAGCTTCACAGACAAAAAAGGACTAAGGGAGTTTATTACCACCAAACTAGCAACACAAGAAATGCTAAAGAGTCTGTTGTAAAAAGAAAAAATAGGAAACAAAGAAGGAACACATGGGTAAAGAATAAAAATGGCCACAAACAAATATCTATCAATAATAACTTTAAATGTAAATGGATTAAATGCCCTAATCAAAAGACATAGGGTAACTGAGTGGATAAGAAAACATGACCCATGTATCTGCTGTCTACAGGAAACCCACCTCAGAAAAAAAGACACACACAGACTGATGGTGAAGGAATGCAAAAAGGTTTTTCAGGCAAATAGAAATGAAACAAAAGCTGAGGTAGCAATACAGTGGGGCCTTGACTTACGAGTTTAATTCGTTCCGAGACCGAGCTCGTTAAGGAGCTCATTAACTCAAATTACTCTGTCAACTCAATGCAAAAAATCAGCCAAGAGACAGCTGGTATCTCAAAAAACTCGTTATGGATGTGAGGGCGATCTGGCTGCGACATCTGTCACCCCATTGATCGCCAGGGTTGATTCGGCTGATCTGGCTGGCTAGGCAGGTGTCCCCTTCCTCCCTCACCGATCCATGTGCGTCCCTCCCGAAGCTGCGCGCTCAGTCGAAGAGGACGACCTTCCCCCCCGAGGAGAGGACCGGTCTTCGGTCAAGGGTATACGAGTAGCTGCGCTCCCCTGCTAGAACCTCCAAACAAGCTAAAAAAACTCGTTAGTCTGGACACTCATAAGTCAAGGCCCCACTGTACTTATATCTGACAAATTAGATCTCAAAGTGAAGGACATTAAAAGAGATAAGGAAGACCACTTCATAATACTAAAGGGAGCAATCCAACAAGAAGAAATAACTCTGGTAAACATATACGCACCCAATACAGGAGCACCCAAATACATAAAAAAAAAAAAA